AAAAATCGGATTTTGGCAAGAAAAACGAGTTTTGACAATTATCCTCAACAAAATCTGGCAGAAAATTCGAAAATCCCGACCACCAGAGCCCTGGACTCGTCGAGTCCACAATGGAACTCGTTCGAGTAGGACCCTACTCGTCGAGTCCATTCATGGACTCGTCGAGTCTGCCAGTCAGAACCCAAAAAATTTCGATTTTCAAGCAATAAACTATCAAATATGCATCAATTCATCAACAAACAGCCCTAGTCATGATACCACTGTTGGGTTTTGAGCACTACAACATTCCTATGGTGTACATGCAAACCCTAAAGCTTTGGATCTAGTTTGTCTAATGAACATGCAATAATCATCCAAAGCCATAAACCCTAGATCTAGCATGTGTAATCGATATTAACATAAGAATAGGTTTAGATCTTACCTTTGATTGTTATGTAGTAATAACAATCTATTCCTTCTTGTAATTGAATTCTTGAAAAAGCTTAGAGTCACAAAGTGTCACTCCTCTAATGGCTCACAAACACCAAAGAGTAAGAGGATGAAGAAGGAGAGAGGAGAGGCACTCAAAAACGTCTAGAAACCCTAAGGGAAACTCTTAGCCACGTTTTTGGTGCCCTAGGGGTCCTTAATAGTGATGCTATTAGGGTTATAACAAGGACACCCTAATTGAAGCTTAGGCCCTAAGCAGCCCATGGACTCCCTCCTTAGAGGCCTTGGACGATTTCTAATGGGTTTCCCCCAAGAATTCGTCCACTCCTCTAATATGGAGTCCATTAGCCCAATATTCAACTATCACACAATTGATAGTTCTAGTCCCCTAAGTTTAATTAATCTCTTTTAGCCACAAAATTAATTCTTAATTAATTATTGACTAATATTAATTAAACAATATGATTTCTCCTTTAATATATTATTCTCATAATATATTAATAAATCATAATTAATCCTCTCTCTCCATAATTCATCCTATCAAGTTGCTTTGGTGAAGGCAACCCAAAAGGACCATGCACCATCGGGTCAAGTACATACCAAAATAGTTATGGACTTAGACACTAATCCAACAAGGATGACCATCATGCAACTCACCATTACTTAATCTTCATTGTCTAATAAGGATCATTAAGTTGTTTTGTGCTCATTTCACGATCTTCCAACCGCATGTTATCTTAGATGGCAACTCTGATAGCATGTAATCATAAGCATAAGCCATACACATTTTTTTTTCTTTCTTCATGGATCGACCAACTTGTTAAAATCTTTCATCGCTAACCAAAGGTACAGTAGCTAACGAGGCATTATTTATGACAACATAATCCCTGTTTACTTGATAATGCATACAAACACCGACTTATATAACACTTTTTATGACCACATGTTTTGGGTAATGAGACATTAATTCCTAATAATCTTGCTTTTGGTTGGATGACAACTCATATACAAACAACATGCAATTCACCATTACTCATTTTTAGTACAGATGGACTATGAAACGAGTTTAACATAGGTCGTCCAGGGACGGATGCATGAATACATAGTAGGTGTTGCTGATACATGAAAAATAGGTAAAAAAAATCGAAAAATCAAAAAATCAAAAAAAATTTCTACTACAGACTGAAAAATTAGTGGTTGCCGGTGCCACACCGGGAACCCCTTAAAACCGTCCCTGGTCGTCAAGATGATGTCATATACCAATGTAACCATGAAAGCTTTCAAAAACTCATGAAAAAATGTGATTTGAAATTATTTAAAAGTCATATTAAGTAACAAAATTTTGTTTGAAGCACAAGATCCCAAACATGGCTTTAAACACCAAATATTTTTATTGTCAACTAAATTATTATATAATCATTTTTATAGTTATTTTCTTATTTTTATGATTATCTCTTTTTTATATTTATTGTCGATATACTTTGGTTTGTTTGGCGGATATGGACCAAATCAAAGATCAAGTTTTTAATATATCTTGAATTAGAAAATTTGTTTGAAAAAAATTCAACAAATCAAGACCATTTGCTCTGAATGGAAGGGTTAAATCGGATGGTCACTAATTTTTCATGGTAGTTGCATAATCCAACAAAAAGAAATATTACGATTATAATGTAACTTACATTTATTTAAAAATAGTATATGAACGAAAGAATGAATCAAGAGGAAACTTTGACATGGATGATATGAATTTAAAGTTTAGGTCTATAATTTGTTTAAAAAATTTACAGTAAAGTATTTGAAGGGATCCTAACGAATATAAAAATGTGTCTAATAATCATACTTTTTTTAATGCAGACAAATAAAATAAATATCTCCTACAACCCAAATAACTTTTTTTATCGGTTTCAATTAAACTCCAAAAAATTCATTTAAATTTTTACCGCCTCTAATCAAAATGGTGCCAAAAAAAGAAAAAAAGAAAAGAAAAAAAAAACGGTTTGCAACGGACTAACAGACTCCCTCTCTCTTAACGTCTCCACCTATATACATGCGCGCGCACACACGCAGTCACAGTCACACACACACTTCACATCTTCAGAGTTCAGACGCCATTGATGCGCTAGGTTTCTTCCATTCTCTCTTATTCCTTGGTTATGGCAATGCAGATTCTTCTTCCAACCCCACCGCCACCGCCTCCGCTGCTGCTACCACCTGAACACCGGTCTTCACTCTACGCCGGAGACCTTCACCCAGACATCACTGATAACGAACTCTATCACCTTTTCTCCATGATCGGCCCAGTGTATTCTGTTCGCATCTGCAGAGATCGTTTCTCCCATAAATCCCTTGGCTACGCTTACATCAATTTCTACCTCCATTCTCACGGTAATCACAATTCACAAATTAAACAACTGAATCTCTTTGTTTCTTTGTTTGTTGGTTTATAATTATTTTCGTTTGTGGAATTCTTTATTTGATTGAACAATTTAACAGCGGCTGTGGCGTTATCTCGACTGAATCACTTTGAGTTGAGAGGAAAACCCATAAGGCTAATGTGGTGTCAACGAGATCCGCTTACGAGAAAAACTGGAGTAGCGAATTTGTTCGTGAAGAATCTTGATCCGTTCGTCACAGATGCTAAACTGGAGAAGATTTTCGGAAAATTTGGGAGGATTCATTCTAGTAAGATCGCCAAGGACGACAACGGTAACAGTAAGGGTTTCGGTTTTGTTCAATTTGATTCAGAGGAATCCGCTAATGATGCTCTTACTGCCCTAGACGGAACCACATTTGAAGGAAAGATCATGTATGTTTCTAAACTATTCCACTGTTTCTTCTCAATTTGTCATGCTAATTCTTTACTTCAATTCTTGCTGTTCATTAAACCCCATCTTCAGATCTCGATATATGTTCATGGGTTTTAACTAGTTTTCCGATTTAATTCATCTCATATTACCACTTAATTCTTTTTAAAAGGATTGTTCATAACATTCTATTTGATGTTCTAATCACATTCTAAACGATGATTTATTCTCAAGATCTGTCGCCAAGTTTCTCAAGAAAAGCGAGAGGAAGGAGCCCGAATTTACAAACGTGTATGTGAAAAACCTTGAATCGGATTTCACCGAAAGTCTTCTGAGAGAAAAGTTTTCTGAATACGGAAACGTCACAAGTGCTGTAATCATGAGCGATGCCGATGGGAAATCAAGAGGTTTTGGATTCGTCAACTTTAAGTCACACGATAGTGCAAAAAAGGCCATCGAGGCTCTAAACGGTGTCATAATCGGTACAATAAACATCTTAATTTTACACCGTATCTTGCTAATTCTAGGTCATTTCATGATTCAATTTGATGCTCGAATTAAAAACAGGATCAAAGGAATTGTTCGTTGGAAAGGCCATGAAGAAATCCGAAAGAGAAGGGTTCCTGAAACTGGCTCATAAAAAAGACACCAAGACGAACACGTCAAATCTTTATGTGAAAAATCTTGCTGCATCTGTAGATGAAAAAACTCTTGAAGAAACTTTTGGCGCTTTTGGGAACGTGGTTTTAGCCAAAGTGGTTCGCTATAAAAACGGAATCAGCAAAGGATTTGGTTTCGTGTGTTTCTCAAATCAAGAAGAAGCAACCAAAGCTCGTGATTCACTTAATGGTGACCAATTTAATCATTCATCTTATCTTCATTGATTATTCTTAATTTCTCATAGTTAATGTCACTCTTACTTAAATATATATATATATATATATATATATATATATATATATATATATATATATATATATATATATATATATATATATATATATATATATATATTCAGGAAAACTTTACCATGGAAAATACTTGAATGTTGGCATTGCTCTGAGTAAAGAAGAATGTGCTCAAAAATTACAGGCTCGTTTTGGATCTCAATACATCCCACCATATCACAGCATGAGTATGCCATCATTTGTTCGAACACCAGTTGTCTATGATCCATCATACTGGCATTCAAATGTGTATGGACGTATGCAAGTTTTTCCAAATTATAAACCTAAAGAAGGTGTTTACTCGAGCTATGATAAGGATCAAAAGATTCAAAACCCGTTAATGAACTATGAAGCTTACTTCCCAAAAGGGTCATCAGCCAACAAGGCTAATCATGATCAGGTAGGTTTGTCAATTTACTTAATTAGTTTTTGAGCCAGTTTTTTCATTGTTTTTAATCAATTTTGTGTGTTTTGATTTGGCAGGGTCTGAAGAGGTCTAAAATGTTGTGGGAGATGAAAAATGGTGAATTGCAGGTGTCAGGGAAGAAGAAGGCGTTTGGGAAGGTGCAAGTTAATGGGCATGGGCATGGTTTAGAGGGGAAATTGAGCTACTGATTCAGAACTCAGAAGTGGTTTTTAGTTTTTGTGTAGAGATTTGTTGTGGTTTTGTGTGTTGTTGTTTCGTGTTTTGAAGGTTTTAATCTCAAGAATGTTGTAATGAAACTCTTTTGACTTGTTCACTAATGCTTGTTATGCTTGATCTTCGCTTAATTGGATTGTGAAACTTGAATCAAATCATAGAAAATGGAATTTATAACTTGTTTGGGCTTGTGATTTATAATTATTATCTTTTCACATAACTAAATAAAGTAATAAACGTTCGTAATATTATTTTACTAGTTGCGAGACTCATATATTACCTGAGTTAATTTAAAAAAAAAATTAAATATAAATGTCAAAATATTTGAGAACTTTAAATTTATAAGAAAATAATAAAAATAACAAAAATAATGAATTATTATAATAAAAATGTTTTTTATCTTTTAAATTTAAACAAATAATTTAAATAAAGAAAAGAAACTAATCAGCTTTAATTTTAAGAATTTTGAAATTAAAAGATAAGTTTATTAATGAAGTTGATATCCATTTAATATTATCTGAAACTTAATAAAATAGAAAAACTTATAAAATAACATGTGAAAAAACATTAATTCAAAATAACCACAAAATGACATTTGAAAAATTGAATGAGAGTATGCCAAATGGCAAAAAACCTTCATTTATTAGAAATGACTTATTATTGCACTCTTTAGAGCCTCAAATAATGTATACATAACACAACAAATACGATAACATTAATCTCCTTATCTTGAATACTAAAAATAAGTAAATCAAGAAGCTTTTGTTTAAAATGTGAATATAACATTAAGTACAGTGTTATTACCATCCCCTATCGAGAAAATTAACACCGATTCGTTATTATGAGATGAAAATCATAAAAAGTTAAATAGACCCACGAACAGGTATCATATCTAAAGATTGGATTTGTTAAATATTAAGAATTAAAGAAAATAATTAGAAAGTACGAAGAAATTGTGGAACTACTAAAAAGATACATAATTTTTCTATAAAGTGTAGTTATATTTAGGGCTATAAAAGCATCATTAGTAAGTCATGCTGTTTGAAAATAAATATCCACGAAACAAAGCGGGAGGAAATATTCTTCCAGGTTGACAAGCACGAGGTCTTATTTGGCAAGAGGAAATGTTGTCTTATTATCGAGTTCCATTTTAATGATTATTTCGCCACTGCTTCGTTTGGTAAGGAGTTCCGGTTACATGAGTTTTCTTTGGTCAAAATGGGAGATTCAGTGAAGTTTCAACATGTATAAGAGGTACTTGAAAGTTGAAAAATCATTTGATCCGTTATTAGACGAGGATGTCGTCCGAGTGTCTCTGATGTATATGTTGGAAAAAGAGTTTAAAGGTCGGTTTCCTCGTCCGCCAATAAAGGAGGATTTTTTCCCCTTCGTATTCAATATTCGAGAGTTCATCAAGTATCATATAGTTTAACTTTTTCGCTTGGTTTTTAATTGCCATTTTTAATGTAATTGTAACAGCCCAAAAATCCAAGGTAAAAATTTCATTTTTATTATAATCAAAACAATATTGTAATTTTGTTCAAAACATCGAAAAACATTTTAAATAAAACAATTATCAGAGTCCAATCCCAAAGATCACATATTGCGGAAAACACGGGTGTATGTGTTGCGATCGTCCCGAACTCTTTCATTTGAAAACTGGAGTACCTGAAACATAAACAAAAAACCGCGAGCACAAAGCTTAGTGAGTTCCCCAAATACCACATACCATACAAGAGACATACGATAAACATATAATGGTCCCCGCCCGGCTTCGGACCCCGTCCGGCATCAGGCCCCGCCCGACATCGAGCTGAGCTCGGTAAAACGGTCTCCGCCCAACGTACAATAAAATATATCAAATAAACACATACACATGCAATAATCACATAGATACATAGCATACAGATATCCCTCAGGCCCCGCCCGGCATAGGGCCTTAGCCCGGAAGACATATAAACACAAGCACATGCGAGGGTCATAAAGACAACTAGCATACTATAATATAAACATGGTTCGGCCTTGGTACCTTCGGTAAGAAAACTCACCTCGAATGCAGAAGCACACTGAAAGAAATCCCTAGTTGCTGCCCAGACGACACCTCTAAACTGTCAACTCAAAAACAACACCCAATTAACAACTAGGTTCCAAATCCATATCCACAACTTCATACCTGGGGTAAAAAGATCATTTACCCCTAACCTATCCTTGTCCAAATTATGACCCAAACTACAATCTGAAAGACCCAAAGGCCTACTAATCAACCAATGGCCCAATTTTCCAAATTGGGCCCAAACCCCATACATGGCCTTGCCTTAAGGCCCAACCATTATTTTTCTAGTCCAAACACTTTGCATCCCGATGACCCACTAATAACTCAAGCTCAACATGCCAGAAACTTATTGATCCATAAAAGCCCACTAATGGCCCAATTTTCCAAATTGGGCCCAACCCCATATGGGCCTTATCCTAAGCCCATATTTTCCTTAAGTACAATTCATATTACCACAAACACCCCTTGGGACAAATTAGGTCAAAGACATAAGTCAGAAGTTAAAGTCAACGGCCCCAGTTGACCCAACTCGCCGAGTTGCCCTTCAACTCGTCGATTTTTCTTCATCAGGCTGCAAAAAATTGAGAAGAACTGATCCAACTCGTCGAGTTCACCCAAAAACTCGCCGAGTTCATCAGGAACCAAACATCTTAACCCATTAAGCCGACATAATCAAAACTAACAACTTCCCTACTCAGATCTTAATTGAAATAGCGTCTAGAAGGGTAAAGTTTCCAACTTTACCCCTAGGGACCAACCAAGTGGGCTCAAAACCCAAATCCTAGGCTTAAAAGGTTAATGGCTTACTCAATAATCACTTAACCACCAAGACAAATCCCCAAAATACATATCTGATCCTTTAAGGCTGCATGGTCACATAAAGTTCCTAACTTTACACTCATGCATGGCTAGGAGAGGCTCAAAAGCTCATAAGAGACTAAAAGAAGAGCTTAATAGATGCATGAAGCCCTGAAGACCATAAGGTAAGCACTTGGGACTTCTATTTCCCCAATAATCACCCATCCATGGCTAAAAGCATGCAATTTAACCAAATAAGAGATCTAATCAAATATTAAGCAAGGTTAGAACTTTATTGTCACACCCCCAAACCGAAACGGCGGAAACGTTCGGGGATGGATGACGTCATCCGTAGTATCACAACAATTGCATCATAGCAATCAAAGTAAACACAACCATTACATTGAATATATATATATATATATATATATATATATATATAAAAGGTCTTTACATCTGTTTGATTCATATTCATATACATCAAAAGTATAAAAAAATATAAAGACGTGATTCTATATGCTCCGTCTTCTCAAAAGTCTGCTGAGATACCTGACTACTGATTTCCTGAGAATACAAGCGATTTTGAAAAGAGAGTATCAACATAAAAGCTGGTGAGTTCATAAGCAATGTTTTTGTAATGAAACCCTGTTGACGAATCTGGAAAAATGTTCGTATGTTTGCAAGAAAATCCAATATTTTCTTTAGTAAAAGCATGATAATACCAGTTCTTTCTATGATCAATTAGTTCATACTAGTCAAGTATAAACCAATATCGAACAGACGGTTGATTGTGTGGATCTGCCCTAAGCCCACAACCAAACAAGGACCAGGAATTGAGGTGGAAATCACACATCCCACAGCCTATCGAATATTCTTCATACATAACCCTGATGCATAAACTAAGAAATTATAGACTTAACTAAGATTGTTTGTTACTGTATCCTGTTGTAGTATATGAAACATATTAGTTTGTATGTTGGGTTACTACTAGATGTCTTGTAAGATGAGTTCTGTATGAAAACCTTCGTATAGAATGTTCTGTATGAAAAACCCTGGCTACTACCAGTACGTATAATAGTTTTATTACTAAAATAAAACCTTGAATTCAAAGTTCCTGGAATCTTCCAGTTTTGATGTATGATAGTTCTATTAATGAAAATAAAACTAATACAAGAAATGAATTTTCATAAATAATTGGTTAGTTTATGCTATTGTGAGTTCGTATAACCATGCTTGATATGACTGATGATCTCTACGACGTTCTTCAGTCGTCGGACGGTATGATATTTGTCACCCCAGGCATGCCTGCCTAAGTGTAGCTAGCAGTTTAGGTGTGGGATTGTCAGTCCCGAATAGATCTATTCACAAATCTCACGCTCTCCCTCCAGGAGACTCTAGTTACACTAATGATAGGATTTCGCTCGCACCCCAAAGGGTACAATTGAAGTGATGTCTCACAATCCTGTATTAACTAGTTTACGTGTAGTTTTGTATCGCTCTTTTCTATTTGAATTCGTTTGTAGACCTTGTAGAGTAATAATAATTATACTTAAATAATTATTTAGTAATGTATTCTTGTTACCCGAGAGATATAAATGAATATCATAAACTAAGTCTGTCATAGTTTATATGTTTAACAATGTATAAGCTCTGAATTTGTAAGACTGTATATTGAAACCCCAAACTATACCTATTATAGTTTGAATGAATGTTATGTATTTGGTTGATGAATTGATCTGAAAACTATGCAATATGGCAGTACGTTGAAAACGTCCCTTATGCTCAACATAATACAAAAGGGATAAAATATCTAAATATTTTATAAAATGTGAAAAATGTATGGATGTATCAATTACATCAGTTTTAATCGTGTTGGAATCCTTTTGTATAAATTCACAAAAATCATTTGTGTTTGGCTTGTACTCTCCCCCTGAAAATATTAAAAACAGTAAAAGCATAGGGGTATGAACTCACAGTTGGTTGCGTGAAATGTCGGACAACGAAACTGGGAGTGAAGACCCTCGGGTTGATGTACGCGACACTTAACGGGATCCTTATAATAACTAAATACATATATGCATTTTATTAGCGAAACCATTAATTATAGTGTTGGAAAAACACTTG